GATAATAATAATAATAATAATAATAATAATAATAATAATAATAATAATAATAATAACAATAACAACAACAAATAATAATAATAAGGAGAGCATTTCAACAAACTGATAAGACGTAAATGTTGTATAACTGGAGTGCTTGTGTGCAAAACTAATCTAACTTCAGAACAATCGTATCTAACACCAAGCTTAGCTGACAGGAGAGCTCACCTTGTCTTCCTGAGTGTGACCACACTGTCGTTGTTACAGAGCTGGTCAGTTGTCTCGATCTTGCACTCGGTGCACAAGTGCTTGAGCTGTTAGAAACGAAAAAAAAAAAGATTATTGAATGTGCTTCCTATAATTTCAAGGTGATAAATCCAGTTCAATAACCTTGAAACAATGAATGAAAGTGAAGGAATAGGATCAGTAATTCAAAAAATAGATAGATAGATAGATAGATAGATAGATAGATAGATAGATAGATAGATAGATAGATCATCAGATCATCATTATCATAATCATAAAACAAAAACAACAACATACACCACTACCACCACCACCAACAAAAACAATAATAACAAGAGCTATATAGCAGGCAGATTTGAAGATAAGCAAGAAATAGACAGGACCAATAAGCTCACAATTAATTTATACAGCAACAACAAGTTCACACCACACTAACACACATATTATTGTATCATGAACGACATTCTGTGCTTGGTGGCAAGCACACGGAACTGTACTGTAATATCAGAGGGGACCTTGGTTCGAATCCATGTCAAAGATACAGTCATAAAAAACCTGCGTAAAGAGGCTTTAATTAATCAATTCTAAGTCTTCTATGCACGATGGTTTGAAGTTCCAGCCTTAATTAAGAAAGAACAGTTAATAAATAGACAGCAGTGAAAAGATAAAACCCTAACCTAGGCTACCTTAGATCTAAGAAAGCCTAGGCCCTAACCCATTATATGACGTAATTACTTACAACAACTCGCTCTTCCAGGGAAAATCTGTCGGTGTAAAATTCCTCCTGAAAGTTGGCCACGAAGGCGCCGACCAGAGAGAACACTGGAGCAGACACAGCTTGGACCTGGAAGTGGAAAGTATACATCAGGTTGTGGCTGTACAAGTAAATTATATAATCTAGGGATTAAAGAGAAACCTGGCAATACCATTGACATGTAGAGTCTGTTTCTAAACTTTGTTACAGCCACTCTTTATTGAAGTAGTACAAACCTCACTTATTACTGCAAGACTTTCCCCGCCCCTTTCACACAAACAATCCCGCTATACCTTACGGAGATCAGTTCTCAAAGGAAGATGGACTTTGCTCCAAACAAATTGTTTACAGTGAAGTGAAATTTGATTAGCTTTTGCTGAGAGGTAGTTTAGAAATTATGTTATGTCTACATGAGAGAGAGGGGAGAGAGATAGATAGATAGAGAGAGAGAGAGAGAGAGAGAGAGAGAGAGAGAGAGAGAGAGAGAGAGAGAGAGAGAGAGAGAGAGAGAGAGAGAGAGAGAGAGAGAGAGAGAGAGAGAGTACAGAAATCCAACTCACCTTCACCCAGTCCAAAGCTCCAGTCCCCACCGTCCCACAATGCAGCGAGTTGTCTCTCTTTTCTCTCAGCGCCTGTTCACGAAGGCGCCACCACAACTGGGTTTCCATCGCCATCTTGGACACGTGATCATAACCACCACTGACGTCACCAGCATTCCTCGTCTGACTACTTGAGAAGGGGCGTAATCCGAAACCGCTGACACTGGACTCCACACCATTGGGTGACGGTTCAGTTTCCATTCTCCGTCTTTTACATGA